ATGGCTCAAAAGAAAGTACGCAGTGAGATGATACAGATGGAAGACGTTCTAGCACAGATTCGTAAAGAAAATGAAACGTTGCGCATTGAATTTGAACAAAACATGGCGGCTAATGAACAGACTGCTGCAATTAATAGAGAAATGCGGCACTTGATCACATCGCTTCAAAATCATAATGGACAACTAAAAGGCGAAGTATTCCGATATAAACGTAAATACCAAGATTCATCGGCAGAATTAATGAAATTGAAGAAGGAGTATGATGATTTAGTTGCTAAGACAAATGTGTCCGATGGAAAAAAGTCTGATATCAATCAAGAAGGAGCTGTGATTGGTGTCAAAGAGGAATCTTCGTCGGATGGTTCAGTATCAGTCAAAGAAGAAGCCGGAAGCCTAATAAAATGTATGTATTTTTTTTTTAATTAATTTAAAAGACTTTGAAAATATTGTATTCCATTTAGCCGAATCAGATCTTAATGAAGATGAGTTAGAAGAAATCGAGGGCATGAAAAAAGAAGGAAATACTTGCATTCAGCAAGAAAAGGGTGCATTTGCTGCCAGCTCATCCGATAAAAAATATGGCCAGAATAATACAGTTGAGAAAGACCCAAAAGAAGCGCAAAGAGCTAAACAATTGAAGGTTAACGAATCTGAAATGGTTCGCGATTTGAAAACTCAGTTAAAGTATGACTCAGATTCGAGGGGCAAACCACTCAAAAGTAATACTGTGTATTAGTATTACTTTAAGTAATACTAATGTAAATATTACCTTGTATTACTTTAGTATTACTTTTTTCAAACAATAGTATTATTTTTAAAAGGAGTATTACTTTATCAAAAGTAATACCACTTTTACCTAGTATTACTTCGTATTACTTCGCAGGTATTATGTATTACTTTTGAGTGGATTGCCCCTTGCTCAGATTACATGTTAAAAATTAAGTTGACATTGACAAACATAATTATCTCTCTATATCGTAGAAAAGCGCTGAATGACCAGAAAGAAATGAAACTACTGCTGGACATGTATAAGGGAGTTTCGAAAGATCAACGGGATAAGGTTCAGTTGATGGCCACTGAAAAAAAGCTTCGTTCTGAAATCGAAGAATTAAGGAATCAAATGAAAAAGATTCAAGTATAATATTTGGTAAGAATTCAAGTGAACACAAATAACAATGCTCAATATTTATAGGAAAGCAAACGTGAAGAACGCAAGAAATTAGCCGACGAAGATGCACTGCGAAAAATAAAACAGTTGGAAGAGCAAAAATATGAGCTTCAAAAACAAGTAGCAAGCCAAAAATCTGCTGATGGTTCTTGGCCTGGACATTATGGGGCGCGTCCATTTGTTGGTTCACAGGTGAGATTATTATTTTAAAATATTTTTCCATACAAATGAAGTTAAAATTAAATGACAAATGTTTAATCAAACACTTGATAGGAAGAGGAAGCTCTCTTAAATGATATGGAGGTAACTGGACAAGCTTTTGAAGAGTTGCAGGAGCAGTATTCACAGTTTACTCAAAAATTACGTGAAAAAGACGATGCATATTTCAAACTGATTACTGAGTGTAACAACGCCAATCAAATGCATAAACTTTTGCGTGAGGAAATGCAAATACTCGAAGATCAGGTTCAAACTCGCGATGCGCAGATCGAGGCATTGCACATAGTTCTGCGAAAATTGGAAGAAAAAGAGCGTATTCTACAGAATACGGTAACAACTATAGAAAAGGAATTGACGCTGAGACAGCAAGCGATGGAAATGCACAAACGCAAAGCAATTGAATCGGCTCAGTCAGCGGCTGATTTGAAATTACATTTGGAAAAGTACCATTCCCAAATGAAAGAGGCTCAACAAGTCGTCGCTGAAAAGACAAGCTCTCTTGAGGCTGAAGCTTGTAAAACGAAGCGTTTGCAAGAAGAACTGGCTCAATTCAAGCGAAAGGTAGAACGCAGGAAGAAAATTGAAATGACGGGTACCACCATCGACGAGGTGATGATGGAAGAAATCCGCGAATATAAAGAAACTCTCACTTGCTCATCGTGTAAGGTAAAACGCAAGGATGCAGTTCTATCCAAATGTTTCCATGTATTTTGTTATGACTGCCTTCGCACTCGCTACGAAACCAGACAACGCAAATGCCCAAAGTGCAACTGTGCATTCGGTGCCAACGACTATCATCGGCTCTATTTGTCTACATAATAACTTCCATTTTTCTATTTTTTTCGTCATTTTCCCATTTTGTACAACCTACCAGACATATTTTAGTAGTAAGATAAATGTATTACTTCATCTCCTCACAAAAAATATTATTTCAATATTCTAATAAAAAAAAATAGCTGTTCGATTCTAAGCGGTTTGACGTTTTAATATACTAACACTCTCAAACAGTTGTAAGCATCAGAGTATGTCACAGAAATTAGAAAGTCCCACAAATTAGAAATGGTTTCGGGACATTTTATTTCTAATCAAATTTTATAGAAACCACAGTACGGACATTCGAATACTCCACATGCGTTTACATAAGTTCGAACTGTGAGTTTATGGCATAGAAATTAAATTAATGGCGGCCATTAAATGTCATCTACATCATTTTCATTTATTACATATAATGATTTTATGAATTTCAATAAGTGAAAATTTAGTACCGTTTGTAATTGCGTCATATCTCTACTTTGTTCTTGACAACGATCAATTCACCACGCAAGTATAAAGTCATCGTTCGATGCGTGTAAATGATTCGTCTGAAGACCTACGCATGGCTTCCAAGAAAAACCACCCAACCAATCCGTTCATTTGCATTAGCAATGGAGCGAGCTAGTGGATGCGTAATCGCTTAACTGAATCACAGTGGCAAAGCTTTATTGAAATTAGTCTATAATCAGTGATTGCCCCAGGCAAACATAATATAATGAAATTATCCGAAATATATTTGGAAACGTGCGTTTTTGACATGTTCAGTATTTAACTCATCCGATGTACGGTTTACGTTCGACAGGCGTTCAAATGTTGCCCGTTTAGAGGTGGTTGTATGCATTAGAGGATTAAACATGAAACCAGAGAGAATGGAACAATAATGCAAGTAATCTCATTCGTTGATAAGATAATATAAAGTAAATTAACATCTAGACAAACGCCAAAGGTAAATAATTTCAATCGAACTGAGAAGCGATGCACCGAAGAATAGACCAACAATGCTGCCGATTGTGATGACCAAGTCAAGATTTGTAGGGCGCGCTGAACGAGTCAATTGTTTTGGCTGATTATTTATTCCAATGTTCACTGACGTAATGTCCCTAATAATTTAATACTTTGAATCATATCTATGGATCAAATTGATTTTTAAATTAGAATTTTATTTATTTTGATGATCGATTCATATTTAATGTCTCCGTGGTTTCACTGAATCTTCATACCCGACTAGACTAACATGCATTTCTGTACAAGTAGAAAAGCATGGTTTCATATTCTGGAGTTGATCATCCACTAAATCTTCGTTGTTCTCTTGTTCAATGCATCTTGTTTGCGTGTAAATTCAATATTGGCTTTTGTCTATTGGACGAAATCGAAACGATCTATGATAAATTCGGAATTTGAATTCGTCATTATCTAAAGTAAGCGAATCATTACATTCGACTGGTGCAAAGAGCAGCGTACAATTGCAGAGCTTCAATTCTTTACATTTAAATGTAATGACTTGTTTAGGAATCACATAAATTACAATAATTGATTAAGATTTTTTCTCGATAGATGTGCACAGTAAATATCAATCACAAATTTGTACCAATCGTCAACATTTGGGCTCAACTAACGAATCCAGGTGAAATTTTGTGAACATTTTATGAAACACCCATACTGTTTAGGAAAAAAGTTCGAAATGGCGTGTATACCCTATACATAGGCGAGTCCAACTTTTAGTACTAGGATGTTTTCCTCACTTGAGCCTGCTATCGCCGGCTGTGATTTGGATTTTGGATTGAATCAGGGAACAAGTGTTCATTGCGTACGCTTATTAGTGTTTTGCAATATGACCTGATTTGCGTTGATAATATCAATGCTAATAGTTGGTTTATTAGAAAGCGCGCAGAATGTGTTGAAAATTCGCGCTGCAATCTTTGTAGAATTTTAAAATGTTGTGTGTGTTTTTCTTGCAAATTTCTCCCGGTGCTATGGGTGATTTTGCAAAATGTTTTTTTCGTTAGGTCGACAGGGAAACGCATTCACACAGAAGATGTTTTGCTGTTTCCACAATTTGCCCGCACAAGTCACAGTCTGGGTCATCTCTGATGCCCAGACGTGCAAGATGTTGGTTCAACTTGCAGTGGCCTGTGATTAGGCCTGTGTTTATGCGGATGTCGTTTTTACTCATCTCGATGAGTTGGTCGGATACACGACCTGAGATGTTGGGGATAAAGCATTTGGTATGCTTACAGCCGCTTGCGCCTCTCCACGTAGAAATGGTTTGGTCACATAACCACGTGTCGTTCATTTTTTGATTGATTGTTGCTCGATTGCTATGAGTGGTTCGGGCCCGAAGGGTTGTTCCGTCGCCGCATATTTGGCTATCTTGTCAGCTATTTCGTTATCGTATATACCGCTGTGTGCTGGTAGCCATATAAGGGTCACCTCGTTTGAGCTTGCTCTAGGAGGTGCATGCACTCGAGGGTCAGATCACTATTTACTGTAGCACTTTTTAGCGCGTTTAGTGCACCAATGCTGTCGCTGTAAATGTGAATCGGACCGTTGAGTTCATTTTGTATGGCGTGTATGCAGCAAGCATGTATTGCGGCTAATTCTGTTTGTGTTGTTTTTGCATACTTACCGCACTGTCCTTGGATAATTGTGTGGTCACGCATATATAAAGCGCCGTAGCCACTACTATCCTTCTTCACAGAGCCGTCTGTGAAGTAGACGTGCGCATAGTAATTGATTTTGAACACGCCGGCTGTGATAAAATTCGCGAAATAATTAGACATAAAAAATACGGAATAGGAAATTTAGGGAAATTTCTCATAATTTTATTCAAATCGGCTTCTAATACTCGGCAATACAAATGATGATCGATTTTAAAATTCAAAACCCACAAACAATTGCACTCTACTTATAAAAAACATGCCTCTTACAATTCGCTAGTTTAATTTAGTGGTTTATAAAATTATGTCGATTTTGTTCACAATTCACATAAATAAACACGTGACCGATTTGACCACAAATCGTCATTGGAGATCTAAATAGATCCTGGTGCCTTACTTTGGGTTAACTTATTATTTCCATGCTTGTTTCAGTGCTTTCTTCGCTGACATGTGTTTGACGACGAACGATGCAACAGTTAAAGCAATCAGCACAGTGGTTAGGGTGAAGTAGTCGAAGTCTTCTTTTAACAGATCAAATGTCCTTGAAGGCGATATTCTCACAGAGAAGAAATCTACGGAAGGAAATTGGTTGAAATCGTTAGTTATAGTTCAGCAAACGTATGAAAATTGTATGTACAAAATTTGCAAACTGAAGTCATGGGAAGCTAAATAACAAAATTCTTCAATTCAAACAAATTCATTAATTATCTTACCTAGACCATAGGCAACAACTAAGCAAGTACTTTCCAAACCGCTTGGTGAGGTGTAAATGCCTTTAATTCGAGAAATTGATTGATTGTAATTAATGACACTTTCGCTAGATAATGGTAACTCTGGGATGTATGGGATTGTTCCCTCTTCACGCGGCTGATTCGTATTGAGCACGGGCCGTCTTGGGTCGAGCAAATGCCATGGCATCTCAACAATGGCACCGGTTGATAATCCAACTGTGAGAAAATAAGAATTTTCCGATTATTTCCCATTGCAATTCAAAATTGTTACAGTTAGATTTCGTTTTGAATAAATCAAATTTTTTATCCGGAAAAGTAAATGAAAAGCTGCTGACGACTTTTCTGGGATAAAAGTCCTTTGAATTATTATTAATAATTTGCTAATTCGCTAAATCTCAAAACAATCAGATGTTGTCTTTTGATTTGATGAAGACATACTCAAAACGTGTTTATTGGTGATGCCCTTTTCCGTGATGGTTTCTTTCATCGAAACGATGGTGGCTGGAATGATGTAAGCTTGTTGTTCAATGGCAGGCAATGGAGGTGCATCGAATGATGTCCAAATAGTGCTGTTTGCCTGTGTATTTCCTTCATACAACTCGATGGTAGCTGAAATAAATTCACTAAATTTCAATTCTCCAAAAATTATAGAAAAATTAGGTCCCAGGTTGGGACAAGAAATTATAACATAAATTCAGATATATCTCAAATCGTCGCCAAACTTACTTAATTCAGTGCGTCGAACTTTATCATTATAGTAAGAGTAAACCAGGAAATTTTCGGAATGTACAATATTCACAGGTCCCTTGACTCGGCGATGAGTGATCGTGGTCACAATGCCACCGGACACAACGTCGACCAAATGAACATTTAAAACATCTGTAAAGGATTAAATTTGATGCAATCAATTATTTAGTAAAAGTGTTGTTGATGATCTCACAAAAGAAATTATTCTTTCAAAAATGATAAAAAGGTATCAAAATTATGCATAATTTTAAAATGATTCAATTAACATGGTTCACGAACTCCTTACATTTGTAAACATTATCGGTTCCTTGTGTGACGATGGCAACGAGATTTGGATTGATGTACTTGTACAAAACGGATCGATCGTTGAATACTCGGCCCTGCGAATGAACGTGTTCGTTGGGATTTTTTGATGCAATTTTGATGATTTTCTGTGAATTGTCCAAACCACCGAGATTGATGCGCCATGTTTCGGTCGCTTCCAGATTTTTGTCATTCAAACCGATGTAGTAGCCGGTTACGATGCCAGTATTTACATCAGAGACATAGATAAAGGTGCCATGGGCCTACATGAAAAATTCAAAGAATGAATATTTTAGTATTCAAACGATTCACTGGAACTAAGTTCATTTTTCATAGGCAATAAATTGGACCATACCGTTTCAATGGCTGTTTCGGGATATACATGAACGTTATTGGCTTTATCGAGCAATAAAACTCCACGAAGAAAATCTGGCCCTGGTTGCAGTACGGACACTTGGCGAATTGGATAGTTTAACTCAATGATTCCACCATTGACCGGAGTACCGTCGATCGGATTGAATTGGTAGAGCAAACCATTGCCGGTGATCTAAAGAAAAATTTTGGAAAAATGTTTAAAATTTAATTCAAGTTTAATGAACACATCAATTCTCGAAGAGGAAAGAAAAATAAAAGAAAAATTAAGAAAAAATTAAACATGAAGAAAACGCTCATTAGAGCCAAATTGGAAAGTGAACAAAGCATGAAGAAAAAAAATCAAACAGCGAAAATAATAATATGAAAAAATACGAAGTAAAACAATAACGATGGATAAATTACAAAAAAAAACATTAAACGAAAAAAAGTCATGTAAAAATTGTGATTTTACCTTATGCTTGGCCAGAATAATGCATTGTGCGGGATATGGGAAATGCTTCGATGTTCTTTGCACAACAATTTTCATCGGTTGTTCATTTTCAAACTCGCCGAAGTTTGGTAGATTCGTAATGTAATGTTGTTTTCCCGAAATGTTGTCGATACCGAACAGCTAGAAAATTTGGATTTTTTAGTTCATTTTTATTTTTTTTTTTTTTTTTTTAATATTCAAAACAAATTAGATTGGTTTCAAAAAAATATATATTTCATGCTAGCTAATCTGGTCGTTAAAAGATTGTGTGGGTTGCTCTATTTTCCCGATTTTTTTTTCCTAATTTCCAAAAGGACTTATGTCTCTAAAGATCGCCTTTTAAAATTCAAAAATATGAAAATCCTTCGTAAAAACTCTATTAAAAAATTACCTTTCCCGAGCTGGTAACAGTCACGATAATTGTGTGTAACCCGAAAGCATCACGAGTTAATTCTCCTTTGGTTGGAATGTGATGTGTGCTGACTACATCGAAAATGGTGCGAAGCAAATGTTTCACGTGATTCAATTGTGTGGTAACTCGTTGTATGAAATTGCCGACAATATCCCCTGGAATAGCAAAATGTGAATTAATTTGTTGGAAATATAATGTCATGGAACATTTTTACGACAAAAAATGGATGGAACATTTTTATATTTAAAACAAAGTTTTTTGAAAAATTGTTTAATTAATTTGAGTAGAAATTTGTTTTGTCCAAATTATTTTCAATTTAAACTCAAATCAATTTTGACGACAAACATCAGAATTTCAATTGGTTCATGCAAGAAAACCAAAATGACAACACACAAAAAGAACAAATCATTATCTGCGAACAAAATCACTGACGAATAAAAAATCACACAAAACAAGAAATCAGAAAATGGGAAAATATTCAAAACGAATCTAACTTTCAAAGTTCAACGAAATCAAAGTGAAGAAGAAATAAAGATAGTCAAAAGCACACACACAACAACGATGCACATGAACTTACAGTCGACAGCCTTTTCATCTATGATTTACATAGAAAACGGGACGAAAGATGTGAAATATTCAAGAAAGTGTTGAATAAAAATATTGACAGACTGATTGAAAGACGAAGAACAAAAAGACGATGATGAGTTTATCTTACCATTGTCACTCTTCATCTGCTTTTCGATGGCACCCTCACTGTCAGCCAATGGAAGATCCACCATTTCAATGACTGCGACATCAGCCAATGATTCTTCACGAATCCACTTGATTTTACCTGAAATTTGGACAGAATTGAACTTGTGTTGAAACCATTTGGTAGGAATTAGACTAAAACAAATAGTAAAACCAGATGATTTGATCAACAGCAAAAAGGAAATCAAATGCCCCATGCAAAAGTCCGAGTTGATACCTGATTGCAATTGAACGACAGCCGCGTTGTCTGTAGACAACAAGAAGCGACATACAAAGTCTCCCTTTTTATTAGTTTTGCAGCTGGCATCAATCACATGGGGAGTATCCAAGTGGTTGGGGTAATTAGCGGTAAAAGATAGCAACGACTCTCCATTTTCGGCATTTGAAGCTTTTATATTGATGTTCTGGAAAGATAGGTTAAATTTTGGTATAAAAAACCGGTAGTTAGGAAAAAAATAGACAAACGAGAAGAAAAGAAGAATCACTCTGAAACTACTCAATCTTACCGAACTTTGTACAGAGGCTTCAACTAAGACTGGTCCATTGGTGCTGCGATTTTTTGTGTAGAACAAGACAGGACCTTGATTTTCACCAGGTAAAATGGTGTTTGTCTTCAAGTTGTAGACTTTGCCATCGACTTGAATGGCTGGTTCGACTCCCTATGGATTGTAAAATGAATGGATCAATTTTAAATCAACAAAACAAAATTTATATACAAAAATTCCGCTAGAACGGCTACTCACATTCACAACTTTCTGTCTACTCGTCGTTTTGGTCACAACTTTTTTCGTTGCAACGATCAAATCGGTGGCAACAACTTCGCCCGCACCAGAGCAAACTAAAAATGATTGTACAAAATCGCAGTTTTGTTTTTGGCTAGATCCAATGGGGATTCGGCGTGCAGTGGCTTCAATTTGTCCGGTTTTGATGTTGTATGCCGTGACCTCAATGCTGGATGTGTCCCAATTGGGTTGAGCGTGATACAAGATGGACGATGTGGCAAACCAGTGTGCCTTATCATTCGAAGTGGTGCTTGGTTGGAAGCCCCATTCCCATCCTAAATTTCCGGTTCGAATATTCCAAACGCGTACTAACACGAAACTTTTTCCGGTAACAGCGACAGCAAAATGGTCTGGCTCTTGTCGCCCAGACACACGCAAACTGTTCGAAGCGACAAAGTCATCGTTTAACGACTGCAAAAATTGAATGGATCCTCGGTCGTCTTTCTCAAGCACACGACGCCACACAATGTTACCATTGTCAACATTCAATGCGGCAATCACGTTTTCTTCGGTGCCCACCAACAAATGGCCTAATCGATCATCGTAAAATCCATCAATTAATTTGCCCACGTAATGGTTACTCCTGTAAAAAATTCAACGAAAAAAACATTCACCAAAATTAAAGAATTTAAATCAAATTAGAGATTAAAAGTTTAAAAAACATCGATTACCAATCAAATTTTCCCACTTGGTCTTCGTACAAACACTCTCCCAGCGGCAATAGATTGACGAATGTTAATAAAATTAATGTGAATGATATCGAAATATCTTTGGCTCTAGCTAATTGGATCTTTTGCCACATGTTTTCATTGAAACCGTTCCGAATCCACAAAATCTCAATTCATTTAATTGAATCAACCAAGAAAAAAATAATGAAAATTCTAGTAAGTTTTTCGCTTGTCACTTCGTGCAAACACCACGTACTATCGATTGGTATGTTCTATATGTGTGACTTTGACAGCTGCTACGGCTTAGACCGAACTGTCAAACTGATTTGACAGTTCAATAGACTAAGTTGACCGAAACATTGAAACATCATTGCTGGTGGTCTCTTTCTAACGCACAGCATCCAACGAACATCTTCACGATAACAATTCAATTGTATTGTATACCTGGCATTTATTACCTGAGTTGAATTGAAGTCTTTAGTAAAATAGAAAAAATTGTTGTGACTACGAAAAATGCATCATTTTATCAAAAAAATACTAAAGATTCAATTTATAATCGGTTAAATTTCAAATCATTAATGGTGTTTAGCGTTTGTTTTGGTTTTGATTGTCTTTTTTGGCGGTGTTCGTGTATCAAGCGCATGTGCATATGCGATGCACTGCAATTTTCCATCCATCAGCTCTTCTCTCTTTCCGCATGTATGTATGCAAGTAAAGATGAAGTGAAAAGAGATGAATCGCAAACACGGCATCGTCGTACCGCACCAACAATCACACCTACTTGACAAATAAATGAGATTACAAACGATTTTTTGCCCGTCGCCAAACTTTTTTTTCGGGCATGACTCGAATTTTAGCCGACCCGTGCTGAGTTCGGTATAATTTGATAATCAAATAATAATTATATAAGTGATTAAACAGAATTGTTTCGTATAAGTGAGTCGGTTAATTGGTGTATACAAATCGTGACCCATTTACTATGAATACAACTAGTCAATTACGGCTAATCGTAACAACAGAACCAGAGAAAAGTTACAACATAAAGTCAAGTTCACGGCTTAATTAATAGTGCCAGTCCAAAACCCATAAACTGTATGCATCAATTGCAATCACAGCGTAACATGTAGCTACGTGCAACATACAAAGAAAATAATCAGTCAGACTCACACTTTTGGATTATCGATTCAACAGAATTTATCATTATTGAGGTAAGAATTCTAGCGGATGCGAATGAAAATATTGACTCTGCCTGGCATTTGCTTCGGCACATTCAAGGCGTTTTTTCATATGGATTGCACATGTTTTATTTTTATACTGGAAAATTTATGAATTTTTGTGAGTTCGATTGGTGCTAGAATTTTTGCGGTGCAAAACAGGAAAAAGTTATAAAAATTCGTATTCAATAATGAGAAGTGGAAAAGTGATGAGAATAAAACAAAACGAATATTCACCGAATATGAATATCACCGCCAAATAACAAACCTTTTTTTTTTCCTTCAAAAATATGGTCGTAATACTTGCACTTACTCGTATTTTCAAGCTAGAGATGATTTTTAATAAAAATCATGGAAAACGCCTCCAAAATAAAAGAATGTCATTGATTCTCTACGAAAAACTCTATAGTCGCCTGAATATGGGTTTTCTATTGAATCCGAATTTTCTATAGAACCTATAAATGCCGACAAAATCCATAAAAAGTGTAAAATTTATCGAAACCCATTAAAACCCTTCAAAGAAAAGTTAACATCCAAAAAAAGTGCTTATGTCATAACCATTCATTCCTGTAAACCACAAACTAGTTATGCTTGTCATTCATGTTCCCACAAAAACCGCTGGAAACCATCATTCGGATCTGAAAGCAAACAATTATGCTTGTGCAAACGATGAATGTGTATAAAAATTCAGTTAATCAAGAAAAAAAATCATTCAACAAACGAAATACGATCTGGCAAATATTGAAACGACGACTGGCCCGATTACAAATGTAATTCAAGCGATTTTATATTTAGCCGCGCATTGCGTAGCAGGAAGGTCACGTTTCACTAAAAAGAAAGAAGAAGAAAATACCGCGAATTCTTTGCATAAAACTCGTATCAAGCGACGTTGCTACGGCAAACGCGCGCTCTCCCATACACACAAGCACATTTTTTCAGCTGCACTCAGCAGACGGCAGACACACCATAAGTAGCACGCTTTTTCGGTTCGCACAGTCAAAGAACTATACAGTAGAGAGTAGACATCAATTGCACTCATCGATCACATATGTTCCGTCGTCGTCGCCGTCGTGTAGCCACATTGTTTACATGAACTACAGCGGACGCTCGGTTGGTGCGTTGTTCAAACATTGTGCGTTAACATGTAGTGTGTTTTTATCTATGAATTGTGAAGAGCTCGACTCGAATCGAACTACTAGAATGAACCAAGTTGGCAAAAAAATTCTTCTAGTTAGTTCAAATTGACATTTTAACGAAAAATGACCTGAATTGAACATTCTTGGCAACATTTTTGAACATTATTGATGAAATAGATATGTTTCTTAGATCATTTTTGTATGAAAAAAGTGAGTGTTACCCCGTCAATCAATCTTTGTTCAAATAAAAACAAAACTTATCTAAAAAAAACGAAAGGGTTCCGTGTTCAAATATATGAGCTGAACATATATGTGTTTCTTATCTATAGCAAGAACATTTCTCATGGTTAGGCATTAATATTGAGACATTTTGGCTCGAGTATAAAAAAAGAGTGTTTTAAAATAGATTGGGTATTAACGTTTCTCAACGGATGAATGGAACAAAACAAAGTCAAGCAGTTGTTGATGTATTTTCTTTCCACACAGTCTATTTCGATACACTGAGCACAGGAATTTCAACAAGCAACTTGATACTAACTGTCAGAAAAAGCCAAATTCAGCTCTGTGGCAAAACAGTCAATCTCAGCATTATGTGTAATACACAATCTTTATGAACGGAAGCAAAATAAACGTCTTATCAGACTTTTCTGCGTAAAGACAAATTTGCGAAGAGTACTAATTGACAAATTATTTCGCGACGCGCTAACAGTTCAAATCAATTTAGATTGGAAATTTGATTTAGTGATTTTGATAAGAATTTGTCGAATAAATGTGTTTTTTTTTTAACATTTAATGAGCTATGACTATAGCTAAAACAACCGAACGTTGTGCTCAATAGGCAATCTGTACCAGAAGTGAGGACACATGTTTCTTCTGAACAAACACATGTCAGTTTTCTTCAACATTTTTTTCTATTGTTGAACATTTTGCCGTTAAATTTTCTTCGTAATTGTTTTGCCATTGATTTTTTCGTCCTAACTCTCTTTCTGTTCTAACTATGTGTGAAAATTTATGATTTGTTTCCAATGTTCTTTTCCGAGGAAGATCTAAAAATCCGGCAGAAGAGAATTTGAGCCGCACACCGTCCCAGTTTCAAAGCAATTGTTCAACTCAAATTTTATTTAGGGTAATATTTCGTTAAGTTGTTCTATTACTTGAGGTTCATTGTTTATTATTCCATGCCGTGACAGTTTGCGTGCTACTTAATAATTCATTGTGATTTCGAACTCTCTCGGGTTTAAAACTATAATTTTTTCATTTTCCAATTTTGTTTTCCGTTTCAATGAGTGAGTGTGAGTCGCGTTGTTTGCATGCAGACGATACGGCAATCGTTATGCGTTGTACGCGGTTCTAAACGCTTAAAGAAGCAAACATAAAATCAGTTGCACGCGAAACGTAGACAAATAAAGAGTCGATAACAGTAGCCTGTCTGCTAAATTAGTATGTGAATCGCATAGTGTACGGTGTCGATTTATGGCTGGCTCCACATTTGAAAACTGCTCGTTTGCACAATAGTCGGGAAAAAGATTGATAAACGGACGTTGATTGACACTCTGATTGCTATCAATTCGAATGGTACGACGTGTAAATTTTTCAATGGACAATCAGAGTTTGTTTTGAATTTAAAATTCAATTTTTCAGTGTTTTAAATAGACAAAAGGTGGAATTTCCGATAGAAATATGAAAATGTAAAGAAATACAAGATTTTTTATAGAAAAATTCAACGTTTTTCAACGAATTAACGTTCATAGTGAGAAAAATCGGACGTGAAATCGATTCCCGGAGTTGAAAGAATGGATATTCATTAGAAAAAAATGAATTGTTCTTCAGCACATCGACAAAGTTCAGTGGAATAATCATATTTTATTGAGAAAATTCAATATTCAATTCAAAATCCAATAAAACGAAAAATTGTTTAAATCCAACAGAACCAAATCAGGAAAGTTTTTTGAACGTACAAGCGTTCAAGCCTCCATTTATATAAAGAATAGTGAAAGTAGAAAAAAAATCAAACATTACAATATTCCAACGCTACATCAGTGATGCAACGTATTTTTTTATTTGCTGAACTAACCAAAAACTCACTAAATTCCATTGTGGAAAGAATACGCCAATAGAGTGAAGTGGAAGCAAAAATTATCACTCGCATACGTATTTCGCGGAAACTGTGGGTTAAAAGATCACAATTTTGCCAGTTGTCACAGAACGGGTTTTCGTGTGAGTAAAATGAACAAACCATGCAATTTAAATGTAAATCCAGCTTCCATTTTTGGCATAAGTGTTCTTGAAACGTTATTGCTGACGAAAATCGGTTGAATATTCACTAAAGAACTTAAGTGAAAGCATTGCGCCGTTGAAAAACGATGAATTTTTAATTCACATTTTATCGATAGAAATGATTGTTGTACGGCCGTGTGAACGGGTGGTTCTCGTCGTCAATTGGACGTTGTAATCGATATTTCAAGCGTTGTTGTCGTAACACTACTCTTGCCTCGTATTCAGTAATTTAAAACGCTATCAATTTCATTTCGAATTCTATAAAATACAATCACCAGTTTTATCGACATGCTCCAGTTAGCGGCGACTACACAAAAAAAACACTGCATCATTTCACATTATAAACAACGACAAATGTGACGATTTTTATCCAACTCTTGGATAATTTTGCTTGTTATTTTCTGATTTTGCTTGTTATTTTTTTCGCCGGCCAACAATGGACACACTTTTTTGTTACAAACCAATAAATTGCAATAACATGTGTTTAGTGACCAGCGATACCAACTGAAACCGGTTTCTTTGTTTTTGCCGGGTCTCGAGTCGATTCGTTTGGTTATAATTTTCTTTTTTGATAATTCGCGAATTTGTTTCGGTTGTAAACAAATCGAGTTTTTTATGGCGTAAACATGACATATGCATGGAACATAAGCTTATCGCGTTTTATTTTTGAAATTTGCTTCATTATTCGTTTTTTTTTAATGATTCAATTCCGTGAACAGTTTGAATAGCGTTTAATAACCATACGATGTGTGCGCGTTGGCTTGGTCCAGTGAGTTGCGCGTCTATTTAAGAGACTCTATTATCATGACTCATAAATTCAGTTCCAGTAGAAAGTTGAACAGAACAACAGTCCAATGACACTTTTCTTCCTTCTTTTTCGTTACATACACATGATTTACTACACAACGAATGAAACAGAACAAATCTCAATGGATTTTTTTATAGATTTTGCCACAATGAATTCCATTGTGCAGATGAAATGCAGTTTATTGGGGAAAAAATTTTTTGTTCACAATAACAGCTTAGTCAGTAAAATCAATAGATGAACAAAGAATATTCTCCGATTGTGTTATTTGGATCTGGGTTTCCATTTAGATTGATGGACAAGGCTTTATTCTTATCTATCATCTTGGAAATTAAACATCTATTTTAAACGCACTTAACAAAAGAACACTCAATTTCAAATTCAACTTGCTCAATTTACTGAAGTGTTTTGTCTGAAACTGATCTAGATCAACAAAAAAATGCGCAAACGTTTCAAAATACAAATTTGCTTTTCTTTTCTATAAATGTCTATCTTATGATATAAACACCTTCATCGGTAAACTGTGCATTCTTCATCAATCGAATCATCATGGTTGAATTTCTTTAGTGAGTAGACTTCAATTGAGGCTCAAGTGTTTTCATTTCAATCACCTCGGTAAAAACGTAAACAAAATCCAACGTATACACAGAGAAAACTGAGTTGATTTTTACGTAGCAAAATGTTTGAAATTGTTAAATTTCAACACATGATGAATTCTTCGAAACAAATGTTTTTTTTTCCGTATTGACTCAAGTATTTGTCAAATTAGACACCAGCTTCCATACATCGTGTCTAATTTTCAAATTGGGCGCCAATTTTCATTAGACACGATGTATGGGAGCTAATTTTACAAATACTTGAGTCAATACGGAAAAAACATTTGTTACGAAGAATTCATCATGTGTTGAAATTTGACACTTTCGAACATTTTGCTACGTAAAAATCAACTCAGTTTTCTCTGTGTAGGGTAAAACTGTCAACAGATTTTTTCACTGAAATTGTTGAAGAATTCTGCTGGAAATTGGATTTCGTTCAAAATGAGCCAACAGTTCTGTTTGAGTATTCAACGGATGTCATAAGTCAGCCTGAAACGTTCATCAAATTAAATCGCCAGCATTTTTGAAATTGCAAGAAAAAAACATCGAATGCATAAAAGGGGGTGTGGTGCATTGCAACATCACTGCACATATTATGTATCAGAAACAATTTTGCTATCTACACCACCAACAATATTGAAAGAATGAGTTTTAATCGATTACGTAGGGCCTACGTCGTAGGCGTTCTAGACTTTTGAGATTTTCTTTTTTTTTTGATTGGTTATTGCAACGACCCAAAAAACATATGAGCTCATACAAACAAAAAATATGTGCAAAATTTAACTTTTCACCGCATTTAATGAGGTTCGTTAGTACGAAAATAATAATCAAACAATCCAATTGATATTGAGAATTCTACTGGAAACGAGAACGAATTGCTGAAAATAAAAATTTAAAAACAATGTTGGCCAAGGTCATTGTAAATTCCAATATTTACAATTGTGTCAAATTTGTCAATCACTTCCTGTAGCTAATTTTATCTCTACGTAACAAAAATAAATTTCGAACAACTCGACTGAATCTGAATCTACAAACGCAAAACAAAGAGAATCAACGTTTATTTGATTACAAATCTGTGCTGGAATTCTACGATATTTTTGCTGAATCCGAATCAGAATCGAAATTTTGTCACAAAAAACAATGAAATCCATTCTTCTTGAATTTACTTTCCAAATTGGACTGAAAAGGAAACGATCCACTTTTTTCATATTTGCCGAATATATTCGGTAACATATTGTGTCGCCAGAATAATTCCGACTAAAATAATGTGTTTGGAGGATATATTCGGCAAATATGAAAAAAAGTGGATCGTTTTCTTTTCAGTCCAATTTCTTGATACAACTCACATTGCATATGTGCATAAAAATAAAAATGTGTAGTAACGAGTAAATCTTTTGCATAGAAACCAAACCGTTTATCTTGCACGCAATGCTGACGTATATTGTATTGTATGGAACATATTAGCTAGCTAACGTAATTTGATTTAAATTCTGATAAACTTAAGTGACTGAATTACACGGAATTCAACTGCGTTGAAATTCAGTAGTCTGGCTTCAATGAGTGTCAATCAGTTGCAGCAAGTGTCTAGGTTTCAGTCGCTTTTTCTTCTTCAATCTTTACTCGTAGAGCGGAAATCTTGAACAAACGAAAAACTAACGGTTTTATGCCAAAAATCACCTCCTGACACAAGTTGAGCCGGAAGCTCGAAATAAAATCAACTAAATTCAATAGTGTTTGGAACTTAAATCGGTAAATTTCGATTTTTGGATTGAAAAAAGCGTCGAAATCAATTCTTTTGTATAAACAGACAAAGAAACAACGAAAAATGACAATATTATTGAATAAATTATTCAGAAATCTGACAAAAGTTTTTTTCAAAGGAAAAAGTTAAACTTTATAACTTCAACAGAACAAGAAGTAGCACCCATTACTCAAATTGGTCGATCTTAAAAATTAGGTGGCTCGGCGCCATTAGTTCTCCATTTGATTCTTTTAGATAACCCATTTCAATTGAAATAAATTAGGATCATATCCCACTCCGCAATAAAACAATTGCCATTTAATTTTCATTTCAATTTAAGGCATTGGACAATAAATGAGTGTACTTGTACGGGTATTCTGTTGTTACCAAAATGGAAAAATCGAAAGTTTGGATTTAAAATTGATCAGAGATTGCATATTTGCTGCTGAGTAGGCCTGAGCTGAACTGAATTTGCTAACTCGGGCGCCTGAAGCGGTATTTTATCGCACTTACGATGCAAAATTGTTGTGAATCGCTGGAATCCATGCTGTTTATCAATTATATTTGGGTGGATAACAGCGATCCACAACAATTTAACACCGTAAGTGCGCTAAAATACCGCTTCAGGCGCCTGAGTTAGCAAATTCAGCTCAGCTCAGGCCTACTCAGCAGCAAATATGCAATCTCTGAAATTGATCAAGTGGAAGTGTAGACTTAGTGAACCGTCGCGAATGCTTATAAAGTTTTTCTTGTAAAAAATTAATTTTTGTTCGTACAAAGCCCCATTCAAAGTTCGAAGTTTAACTTTGTTGTTCCAATGTTGGTTCTCTTTATTAATTAATTTAATGGAGTCTGTTCTCCATAGTTGTACATGTGCAAGTTTCCAACATCGTTCTATAAACAAAGCAATAGCACAGTTTCCTCCGCCGCACATTGTGATTGAAATGAATGCGACAAGTGTCGGTTGTAATTAGTTTCTATTATTTCCATTATTTCAGGCATTTCGAGGCGTGTCATAATATGACACTTTCATCGTTTTGATTAGAATTCGCGGCATTTTTTCCGCCTGTATCACTTTTGTTCATATTCAAACTTTTTCTACCCGGCTCGAATTAAAAGCTATGATAAAAACGATGCAATTTTCAAATTCATTGTGTCATCACGGTATGCAATTAACGCTCATTACTTGAATTGGGTTGCTGTGTCACATAAATCAGAAATTGTCGAAAGTCATTCAAATTTAAATTAAGTTCACAAAGCTCGTTATGATCTGATGAGTTGATCGAGACCTGTCCATTGTTCGAACCTGAAATGAATGAAAAATATATTTATTTATAGAAATGCGAATAGGTCATTTGATATTTGCTTTGATAACACCCAAACATGTGCGGGCAGTCATTTTTTTTCTCCGTTGATTTAGTTGAAAAGATGTGCGGGTACAGAAAAGTGATCATGGACAATGAAATTGACCGTCATTGTGTTGTTGTTAATGCGGTTTCGGATTTGTAGTCGCTACAATAGGAATGAAAATGAATATATGACTAAAGTCCTATGCTACTCGAAATCAGAAACCGCATATTAACAACACAATTACAGCCAATTTCATTGTCCATGGTCACTCTTCTAGGGAACATAATTATGTTCAAGAATAATAATTCTTTAATTTGTAATAAAAACTTGAGCTAAAGTTGTCTCGAATGAAAAATATGAAATAAAAATGATAAGAAGTGATAACCAAATAATAATAGTAACTACTGTTGAAGGAATTATGTAGACAAATTCGTTATATATCATTTACTTAAAACCAATTTTTTACACTCTAGAGATAAGTTATGTTGCATTCGTCATTGTATTTAATAATGTACTATTTATTACTTTCAGACTAGCGACAAACTGATTAATGTAAGGCTAATAAAGGAGCCACTTCGAGTAAAATTCACAAAAACCGCTTAACGAGTCATCATTAAAAATATGTGAAAAACTCAGTGTGACGGAATCACCAGCGTATTTTATGGCAGCACAAACAAATTGCTGAGATTAAACACTCCGACACGATCGATGAGTGCTACAATTCGTGGAAATAGTTCAAAAAATTATGTTGCTGATGAGAAAAGCAGCGAAACGGGTCATTATCACAGCGATTTTACTATGCGCACTCTACGGTGTCTACGCATTTTACATTGGCGGCGAGCCACTCGAATATCGAAACAATCGGTATAAAATGTAAGACATTTTCTGGAACTTTTTATCCCATTTTTTGAAAAAATGAAATCCTTTATCCAAAATTTTCGTTTGATTTTTCTTCTAATTGCCCACTTTACTTTGCCAGAAATATAATCGAAGATGGGATTTTGTCGCAGGAGAATCAAAATGAATGCCATATGCCAGATTTGCCGGTGAATTCGCCGGAGATGACAGCATTTTTGAAAAATGAGCCGCCAATTCATTGTGATGATGTTGAAAACTGGGTCTCTTGCGGTACTGATCGAAAGGTATTTGATAACATATCCCAACTTGTCCACATTTTCTGCAAAAAAGATGATTTTTCGTCTTATTTTTTGTTTCATTCTGGTTTTTTTCCTTCTTTCATTTGTGTCTTTTTTCCTTTGTTGTTGAAAAAATGCAGATGCCATGGGTTTGTTGGATAGAAAATTCGATCATCGATCGGTTAGGGCCCATAACATGTGATTTTGTCGAAATTCTTCGGCCGGAAAATGACTTTGATGTGGAGCAATCTGCACGAATTCGATCCAAAGAATTTTATGAACTCAAAAATTCTGACTTCGTCAGAGCCAAATGCTGGACAGATGACCGAGAGTAAGTGATATGCAACTTGAATGAAATTTTATATTATAATTTGCTCCAATCGTAACATTCAACTTCAAAAATGTGATTTGTGCTAGAGGAAAGACTTTTTTACGTCGATATATCTGACTCATTTATCAAAATGCATTCAATTCTTACACCAATCTTTCTATTCATTAAATAGTATTCAATCACGACTTATACAATCAATTCCTGATCAATTTCAAAGTTGACTTATTGCAAATGGGCCTCTTAGTTTCAATCTACACATTTAATATCAAGTCTCATTTTAAATTTGATGTCATCCATCATCCGTTGTTTTGCACAGCAATCGTCAGTTTTGGAAGGGTATTTTGACGGGGATACGGAAGGAGGTTTATGAACGAGCACTGCCCGAAGTTACCAAAGAGTTGCCATTTAATGTAATAATGTACGGTTTCGATTCGCTGAGTCGAAACGCATGGATAAGAAAATTACCGACAGCCTACAAATATATGACGGAACATTTGAATGCCGACGTACTTCAGGGATACAACATTGTTGGTGATGGAACTCCTCAAGCACTTATACCGGTTAGTTTCAATTCTAAGCCTCAACTTTTCATGTGGAACGATTTATTTGTCCTTCGGAAAATCTAAATCCAAAATTCGTTTTGGAAATATATGGCATAAAATGTTCGTAAAAATGTCTCATTGAAAATCGGATATTTTTAAGGACGAAGGAAAAGTTAAAAGTTATTTTCCGATCAAAACTTATTCAAAATGTATAATATTCGATCTATATTTTAGCTCCTCACCGGCTTCACAGAACTAGAACTGCCTGAGACCCGCAAACGAATTTCCGATTCCGGTTTCGTGAACTCATATCCAATGATATTTTTTGAATACGCCCGGCGAGGCTATGTCACTGCGTTCAATGAAGATTTGCCAGATGTAGGTACATTTTCCTATCGACTGAATGGTTTTCAGGAGCAACCCACAACTCATTATATGCGGCCTTTTTACCTGGCTTTCCAAAGCGAAATCAAAAGACACAAACGACTTTGCGTTGGTGATACACCAAGGCATAAAGTCATGTTTGACTATACACAAAAGGTAAGAAATAGGCAGAGAAGTAAGATCACGGTTCTAAAGATCCTTATATTGGAAAACAGTTGAAAAATTATTCATTTCAATCAAAAACAGTAGAAAAAAATGTACAAAATAATAACAATTCAAAAAAATAAAAATAATTCGAAATTCACCTCATTCTAGTTCATGCAAGCCTATCGTGATCGAAGGCCACAATTTGCCTTCAGTTTTCATGGTGAACTCTCGCATGACTCGATCAATTTGGTCGGTGTTGCCGATAATGATCTAAAAGAATGGCTTGAAGGACTAAATAACAATGGACTTCTCAATCGAACTATTTTGGTGTTGATGGCCGACCATGGCAATCGGTAAGCAATTGAACCAATTACTAAACTCTTTTTTTTTGTTGGCGAATCAATGTGCGTGAAATATTCTTGAAATTTTTAATCCAAAACATTCGAATCAACTACCAATTTTCACACTTTTTCATATATGTAAAAATTGTCATGTTTTTCCCTTTTCCAACGTTAGGTTTGCCGAAGTTCGTAACACACTACAGGGAAAATTGGAGGAGCGATTGCCATTCTTTAGTTTTATTTTTCCCGAAGCATTTAAAAAGCGATATTCCCAAGAATATGGCCACTTCAAAAACAATTTACATCGGTTGGTGACACCATTTGATGTGCACGAAACGTTTTTGGATCTATTGCGTGAGTATTTTCCATTTAATTCTCTTTCGTAATTCTTATTCTTTGAAAAATGACATTGAAATGTTCTATTTCCACGTCAAAGATGATAAATTTCCATTAATAAAACCGTCGTTTCTATCTGCAGGCGTCCAAGAAAACGATGACCTATTAAAGAAACAACCGGAGCAACCAATGTCCAACGCAAATATAACGTACGATCAATTGGTGCGTGGAAATAAGTTTAATCGTGCGATATCACTATTGAAGCCAGTGCCAAAAGAGCGTACTTGTGCTGATGCGTACATTGAGCCGCATTGGTGTTCGTGTTTGAGTCTACACTACCTCGACACAAATTCCGATCTTGTGAAACGAGCCGCGAACGCTGTCGTCGACAAAATCAACATATACACCAGCGAAGAGCGCCGTTCGTGTCACATTCTAACACTTTCGAATATAACATGGGCTGGTGCACTTCAGCCACGCAAAACATTGCTCAAATTCAAACAGAATCGTGATTTAGATGGGTATTTGGCCGATTTATCATCGACCACCACAAAAATTACCAAAGACTTGTACCAATTGCAAATTCACGTTAATCCGGGCAACTCAATCTTCGAGGCCAGTTTGACCCACAATTTATTCACCAATCAATTTATCGTTAATATTACGGACGTGTCACGTATCAACATGTATGGCGATCAAGCTCGATGTATCATCGACAAAAATCCCGATTTGCGGAAATTCTGTTACTGCCGCTAAACTATACACAAAAACATAGAAATATTTGTATTTCATTCAGGATTCAGTTCTATTTTTGTGCACAAAAACCACTTTAAAAAAAAACGCTTTTTTCAACGACTTCAACGGAGTATAGTATTTGATGTGAGAATCAAAAGAAAAAGAAAAAATATACGTGCTAAAATACGATGAGCATCGATTTCATTTAAGTCACTACTTAAGATTTGGTGATACAACTAATTCTAGTTAAACATTGAGCCATATCTCAAATCAAAGACTTTTGCTTAATCGTTCACAGAGATGACTGAAGCGCACTCGAGCACTTGTGTTGTTTTTTTTTGTTTTTTTCTTCGTTCTACTTTACCTTTTTGGCCAAATTTTTTTTTTTCTATCAATATTTTGTCTAACATAACAAAGAATTCGTTTTCTGCCCTGAAATGAGAGCTAATATTTGTATTGTGCGGTCACACGCACTTAGTCATTGCGCGTATTAGCTCAATTTTACAATCGATACTTTTGGGGATTTTTCTTAGCATACACCAATGTAAATGTGGTTTTTCAAAAGCCATTCTTCGTTATGTTAGACAAAATATTGATACAAATTTTTTTTGGCCAAAAAGGTAAAGTAGAACGAAGAAAAAACAAAACAAATTAAAAACAAGATGCCTTACATTCGTAAGGTTAACCTTTCTACACTCCCAAATATATAATTTCCAATCAAATCCAATTCTCCATGCATTGAAATTAGGAAAGAATCATATTTTAATCAGACCTTAATATCGGAGCGATTTCAATACAGCGTACAGCGATTTGCGTACAGCGTATAGTGTACCGTGCATCTACCCTACGACCCTAGAATAACGATAGATTTTGCGATTTTCGGCGAGAAAATCTGGGGCGATCCCAATACTTTTTTTACACGACATGGTCGTGTGGGAAAGTGAAAACAACACAAATGCTCAAGTGGGTGCGCTTCAGTTATCTCTGATCGTTCAACGGATATACGGCCAATTCATCAAATGGTTCTAATTCGAAAACATTTTCCCCAATAGAAAATGAATTTGGAACGAATCTATTCGATTATTTTTGTTAAAATTTTAAGTATTTCGAAATATATCAAAAATAATTCACTCTTATATATCAAAAATTGGTTATTGATCTATTAACTAGGGAATCGTGTTTTTTATAATTTAGGAATATTTAAAACTACGAAATGGAAACTATTGCTGTGCTTTGGCCAATGCCAAACTTTTGTTCGTTTTTCTCTCTATTTTTATTATACAATTAAATGTGAATGGAAGTAAGCCTATTGCGATTAGACGCTTTTGCACCTTTAAACATAAATATTCTTTGGATATTTTCATAGGCATGCTTCGCATGATGAGTCTCGGTCAAATGTCTTTTCGCGTCTTATGATACAACCGTAATGCTTAAGAATCGGGTTTAATTTTTGTTTTTCTTTTTAATTAAGGAATAGAAATAGTAAAGGATTAAGAGAAACGGCTTAAATTTAAACCATGATCTCATCATATCTACTGCACAATTAGTTTCTATTGTTTAGCCAGCACCAACATTATCATTGTTTAAATTTAAGTTGACAAAAATAAATTGTGAAACGAAACTTATATATTAGGAGTTTTTTTTTTCTTTGCTTCTTATTTGGATTCGATATCCATTTGTTTATTAATAAATTGTGTAGAAAAGACATTGTACAATGTACTTATTAGTTTTCCGTACACACCGTGTCAAGGGAAAGTATAGGAATTGGTCCCGAAAACTTTTTTCGAAAAATTGGTTTAGATCATCATAAAAACTCATGAACGCGTAGAAAACCACTTTTTGAGACACTTTTCCGTTCGTGTGCCGTCGTCGTTGTCGTCGTCGTCGTTGGTGTTTGTTAACACGATAACTCAAATGATTTAAACATATTCATACATGGGCCATTGAGTATTAGAGGACTTTTGACGCATAAAATGTTATTTTTTGGAGACGATTAATAGAGAAAATTTCTTTCTCTCATCACGAGCTACAACTTTGATTAATATATCATTCCTGCAAAACCACTTCTTGTGGCCATAAGTCCCCTGATACGAAATTGCCCATGTATGAATATGTTTAAAAAAGTCCATAATATGGAACTTCGGCTTTTATCTTTTAAGGCAGTTGGTTATTAGGATTAACATATTCAGCACAGTTGTAGCTCTTGATGAGTAGAATAAATTTGACCAAGACACAATTGCAAAATAATCTACCATTTCTGAATTCTAACCTCAAATGTCAAATAAATGGCGTCATTTCGATAGCAACCGTCACACTTCTATGGCTGTATCTCTTAAACTATTTCAAAGATTTAGTCGATTATTATTGCATTTAATTGGCGTACTTTTAAGCTATCAAACGCCACTCACTTTGCTTCAATATCATTCTTGGTTCGTGAAATATTCGCGTGTGTTGAGGATGACAAATGGAAAATATGTTAAAAAAGTTTGACCGTCTCCATTTTCCACAGAATGATTCGATGTAGCAAAACATATACAGCATTTCGAATCTTCATAAGCTTGTCCATCAAGCTGTGCTTCTAGTTTTCAAATGTCAGCCCGGTTTTTCCGTTTATGAAAATATATAACGAACCGTGCTCTCAATTTTGTCCAGCAAAAGAATGCATTACAGAATGCATTACATTCATTTGATTTTTATTCGTACTACTTTGATTTTTTAATGTTTTTCAATTTTCAAAATCACTTTCATTTCATTATCATGTTATTTTTCGGTTAATTTTAACAAATATTATGTTTTTTTAAATCAAAATTATTTTTAAATAAAGCAGAAACCGATTACAAACATCAAACGAATGAGTTTAAATACTTTTTCTGATGATAAAACACTGAAAATGCGGCTTCGGCGAATTACCCCATGGGGTGCGGTGATTTACCCCATCTGCGGCGATTTACTTCACAAATCACGGTAGTGCCCGAAGGGCAATACCGGACCCCAAAAGAGATCATATCAAAAAAATTTCTTCTATAAAAGTTAGGTATTGACTCAAGCTACATAATGAAACCAAAATTTCCTGAATTTTTTCAATTTTAATGGAAATATTAAACTAAGAAAGAAATTGCGGCGATTTACCCCACCGTACCTATATTAAAATTATTCATTCCTTTATTAGACATAGATTTTGTTAGAGAAAGATTGTCTTTCGGGCGCAAACTGACACAAATATATCGATTGATATTATTCGTAGATTAAAACCAAACACCTTATTGTCAATTTA